CCCCCACAGAGCATTGTACGAAGATATAATAAAGCATGAACCGCTGGAACACACCACGAGTCGTCGCACGTCACCTGTAACGCGATCTTTTGTCCGTGTCCGCCGTAGAAATAGAATCGACGAACGTTACATACAAGAACTCTCTGTCTCTCCGATGTACACACATACCTACATACGCACACCGACGTGCTTGACATGACCCTCTCCCCGTATTGTCACTCTCCCGTTACATGCCCATTTTGTCGCTCTTGCACTCTGCAACGATTGCGCCTGGCACTTTATTGCCCTGCACGAAGACATCTTGAGCGATGCCGTCGAGAAAGTTCTCTCATATATCTTATTAAACGTCTCGAGAAAATTAGCTCAGTCCTTTTCATCGGAATTCGGTAGCGCGTGAAAAGTCAGCTGTTATGAAATATCTAAGAAAAAGAGAATTTCTATCAATTGTTACTAACGATCTTGTGTATTAGATAAATAGATTCGATTAGGCCACGGTCGATATGAAAATGTTTTTTTAATAATACCAGAAAAGTATTTTATTGTTTTTTCTAATTACTTATTACTGTACTAGAAATTTTTTTAAAAACATATATAGATTAAATATATTATAATTATATTTTTCGGTACTTTTTAATGAAATATCGATACTTTTCAATACATTTTCCTTTGGATTATTTTATCGTACAAAGTGCGAATTAAACACGGATGTACCGAAATCCTATTTCGAAATTGATCCTTCGATCTCGCGACATTCTCGGATTTCATTCTCAGCACGCGCGTATCTTCTGTCTGCCGACGGTTTGTACTTTCGATTTATGACGTCCCTTCGTGAAAGATATCATGGGAAACGAATATATGACTCGATGTACGTTTCTACGATCGCGTGCAAGAGAGGCGTCTATAAGAATTTCTTGTCGTCAGGCGACGCTCCGAATAAACCTGAAGCAATGCTGGTTTCTCGGGTAAATCCGCGAAAACGATAGAAAAATCTTCGGTAACTGTAATCATATTTCACCCCTACATCACAGCGTTGCTCTTCATGTTCACTACCCTCACTCACATTGTACCACGTCACACACATGTTAATTGCAGTATGCGTGGATGAAATAGGTAATCTTTATGTGTCCTGTGTTCTTCGTCCTGACAAATCCGATTGACATTACGATCATAATTCATATGTGTAGAATTTTGGTCCTTACAGTAACGAGTGAAAAATCATTTCACAAAAGCACAACCAATTCTTCAAGAGATGTATCGCGGTGCAGTGCTAAATTATATTGATTCAATTTAAGAAACATTTAACGCGTATAAGCTTAGAGTATGAATCCGTCGTGTGTTAATTAATTTATTGATTAATTAATATTTTTCAAAATTACGTTAAAATTTGAGAACAATATCGTATCATATTATTGCAAGATATCGATAATAGTTCAAAAGGTTTGGTTTTTTTTTCTATTACGTTGTAAATCGTTAGTAACAATAGAAAGCACCGGTGGTAGTTGGAAATTGAATCGGGTAATCTACCGCAATAGACCGTTGCAAAATTTTCAGTCGAATTTATTCTGCACTGCGATCCAACTCTTTTTTTGTTTCCCCCTTCCGAGAGCAAGCCCGAAGCCTGATTCTTCTGGTCTGGCGCTCGGAAGCAGATAGTTCGGCCTCGATGGAAATCGACAAGAGGATTCAGCAGCATCAGCAGCAGTCAGTCCACCAGACGAGTTGTCGATAGCGCAGTACCTGCTATATCACTGAGTAGAATTGTCTTTCCCAGTGTCGCCTGAAAATCCCATCAGCGGCATACCATCGTCAAACCTTCCCCATCGTTCGCCCGTTCATTTCTTCTTTGAAGTAGAGCGCAGCTTCCAATGCACGTCGGAAACCCACATACCGTACCACCATGTCCATGCACTGTCCTTTACGTTACTATAGAAACGGGATGGGCACAATTGCGCGGTGACTTTATTCGAACAGCGCGGCCTGAAGTTTGGAGAGGCGCGGCGTCTGCCGAGCTCTGCGAAATCGGTTTTCATAAAAGGGACTCGCGTCATTATTCCTCTCGTCCGAATCGAAGCGAGATAGGAATTTGTAATCAGATAGAATAGAAATTTCCGTGTTGCAGCATATGGAGACGAAGGAAATGGGAAATACAATATCGATTTGTCAAAAATTTATGTTTGCCTCATGACGTAGTAAATTCTAATTTGTTGAGTTAATTAACTTCACCGTTCAATTTGCATTATTTTACGACATTGTATGTAATTTGCTGACGAAGGACATCGCCATATTTAACTAACATTGTTTACCAATAGTTAAAATCATTAGTCGACAAATTATCTCTGGGCATTCTAGTGTAATTTGAATCTACGAAATGAAGACAAGGTTGAAATATTGATCAGGGCTAGTAGTATATTATCGAGTCAATTCGCAAAATTTTTTTATTATATTTGTGTGTTACATTACTATTGTTTTTTATACATGGTTTTACTTTTTTGTTCGTTCTAGAATGACGTTATCCCTTATTTCACATTCATTCGCTTGTATCATAAATCATTATCTCATTATTCATTTGATACAGAAACGACTATATACATACATATTAACGAAATCGCAGCGTAACTATTTAGTCATTGCGAACACAATGAACACTTGAGACTTTGTAAAGCGTGTCTCTCGTATAAATCGTACAAATCGTTCGATACAAAATTTAAAAAGCTCAGAACCACAGCTTATCGCATAAACGCATATTTTTGCTTAACTGAAACGGTAATCTAATCGCAGATTTTACACTCGGAGATGAACCACAAGAACTTCTACCGGCTTGCTCCCGCTTGAAAGTGTTCTATTTCCAACGAAACGTGCGAGGAAACTTATCTATCACGTAAAACGCGAGGCGTACCACTCAGCATTAGAATGTTGCTAATTGTACCAGTCCGCTTTGATTCCTCCCAACTCCCGACAGGAAGCGTTGAGAGTTCTCGCTCGAAACTTGCATTTCCGCGCCACGCTCATCACACGTGCCGCAGAACTGCGAGCTCGAAATTACTTCGTACATTCGACTCGCAGCAGGTGTTGGGCACACACTGTTAAATAACGATAATCTATGCGTGTAATATCACTTCGTATAAAATCTAAATAAGTGATCAATAATTAATGATTGTTACTATTGTTCGCTTAATTAGATATATTGCGTATCAATAGCGGTATTCTCTATACTTTATCAGCAATACTCGCATAATGCAAAACACAATGAAATATACAATGTATATAACAGTCAATATTCTAAACACTTCTCTATACTTCAGTGAAACAACAAAACTTTTCTATTGTGCCAGTTAATATATTATATTCTTTAAGAATTAAAAAAGTCTCGAGTTATTTAATTATATCGCTGATTCAGTACAGAATACTGTTACAGGTGGTACTTCGATTAAAAGTAGATATATTTCCGGCAAGCCGATGCTGCAGACACACGAAAATGCTATTTCCATGTTTATTACGAAAATAAAATGATTCGCGAAAGATTTTTTTTTTCTATATCCGGGGAATCGAGATTTTGTCGAAACTACAGCGGTTTCACACCATCAATTTGGATATCGTACGCGTAGATTGTGCGTGGGAGCCCAACGCTCGTAGGTGTCGAGAGTACGAAAGACATCTGTTGAATAATACGAGGAGATCTAGTAAAGCCTGCATGTGCCACACAGCAATGCGCACCGTGCATCTCGGAAGCGTTGACGCGTGCGACTCAACCGTAGGTGCTGTTTACCATTGATTGTGTCATTCTTATTCACTTTTCTTCTCCCCTCACGCGACGTAAGCGTGGGGGAGGGTCTCGATTAATCCGTATTACGCTTTGGTGCGACTTTGAAACATGATTAATTAATTGATCTTCCTTTTTTTCTGTTTCCTCAACACTCTAGTTGTTCAGGATTAAGCCTCTGCCAGTGTTAGTAAGTACCGCCACTTGATCTGGTGTGATTGGACTGCTGTAGTTAGAAGGCTATGCGTACATATACTTATATATTATATTCATACTTACACATACATTATATATACATGCCTCGTACTGTCTCTGTTCCTATATTATCTATACATGCCATCGCTGAAAAGTAGGACCTTTACTCGGATTTTCCTGTTTATCAATTTTTCCCTTTTAATCCCACATGTTTTTCCCCTTTTTTTTCGCAATGCTTCTACTTCACGACAGGAGTTCTCAAGTGCGAGTAATACGTATCGATATGTTCGCTTATACATGCCTCCATATAAAAAAAATTCCTATTCGCATGGACGCTCAGAGGAATGCTTTAGAAGTAAAAAAAAGCCTGTAAAAAGCGCATACGGTCATTGTACTATATATAAGAATTATCATTGTATCTTTCGACTATATACACATTAAAAGCGAAGCTGAAAAATATTTTAATTTTATTCAAGCCATTTTTATTTTGAATCATTAATGGTCTACGAGAAATTGTAATATAAAATAAAGTTTGTTGAATTAAAAATTTGCGAATGCAAATAATTGTGATAGCTATTTTTACCCAAGGGACTATTTTGTATTGACAACAGATAAATTTAATAGTATTTTTCCTTTCGTCCGAGCGCTCATGTATTTCTTACTAAAAGAAGTTCTTTCGCTTTTCAAAGCACTTGACGTAATTCATGGAAACGTCCTGTTTGAAAACGTGTGGCTCTTTTTCGTATTCGAACAAGTTTCGATATTTTCAAAGGGAACATTTGCTGACATGATGCCAATAGAGACATACTACTACCGGAAATGTATAGATGAAAATGTATTCACAGTTAAATGGGCTACACGTTGGCAGGACAATACTACGATTAATCGCCAGTCCCGTGAAACAAAAAAAAATATCGATTCCTATACATTCTATTACCACATCCGAAATTTCCAAAATTGCTAAAATTTTGCAATCGCCATACGATCCGAGATTTAGGAATAAACGTAAGTTAATGTTGACTTGTTTTATATTATAATTTAATTCACTTTCAAGACACTTAATTATTATCAATACGCATGAAACTCTTAATTCTTTTCGTATATAGCATATCATCATATTTATTTTTTACTATCAATTATGAACGGTAATAGAATACTAACGGCGTATATATACTTGTCGAAATCCATCGTATCAGAAGTGACCCTAAATAACCGTACAGTTTCATCGATATACAAAAAATTATCATACAGACGTTAAATCTGTACGAATATTAAATCGATCCTATTAATAAATTACAAATGAAGACACGCTATATGCGTGTATTAACTGCCAAGCTATTAAACGCAAAGGAATGATAATATAAAATGATATTATAAATTGGTTGCTAAATAAAGTCGCAGACTATATTTAGCCAGTACTCCGTAGTCGCAAATTTTCGTCCGTGTGACGCACGGACTCTAATTAGTACGCACTCATTAATTAGTTCAGAATTGTCGATATTCATGACTTTGGTATATCCAGAAAATTCCTTTAATTTGTAATTAAAATCGATACAATTACGAATACACCAGACATGTAATATTCGTACAGAATGAAAATGGCAAATCATCCTTCACTCTTCCCCCACTCACTTTCATCCTCTACGTCCTCTCTTCACACATTATTAAAAATCCTCACAGCTCTGTTTTGCGAATGACATGTGCGTTAACCGGAAGCCACTTTTGTCACTGTCTACAACCATATCGTTCATTATACTTACTGTACATTATACCTTCTCTCATGCGTCGTTCTTTACTTACACATTCATGTAGTGGCCGCGCGCATATCTGCATCGTGCATATCTTCGGTATGCGTGCGTGCGTGCGTATACGTGTGCGTCTGTCCTTGCGCGATGTGCAGCAACTAGTGCTTGAGCTTCTTGTGAAACGGAATCACTCATACGTTATATATCTATGTATGCCTTTACACGTACTACGTATTGCGCATCGCTAAATGACCGAATCGTGTCGCTGGTGGCATTACGACAAAAAGCTCGCACAACAATTCCCGTGTCCCTCCAGTTGACGAATTCCCGCCCCCCAATGCCGATGAGTGTATCAAGATTGACTGTAAAAACCGTGCAGGTCCCTAAACTAAAGTCGATGACCTAACTGCGTACCGACTGTAAAACGTCATACAGCGACGTTCAGAGACCGGCGAGTTTTATATTTCGTCTGGAAATTCGTATTTACGTGCCCCCTCCTTTTTAACTTTTAAGCGATGTGGCGAAATCGAGCTACGAGTCGATCGCTGGTTATCTTGAGACAACGTGTGCATTTGTACTTTACTGGATCTATTATGCGCCATGTAACGTACTGCAAATCAATACTACAAATTCGGACGAACTTGCGAGCGCTCCATTTGCCATTGATACTTTGTACATTCTCTACATTGTACTGTCACTCTTTGCAAGAGCTATTGCCAGTGCTTATTACGTCGCATCTTTCGCTTTCCTCGCAACATTTCATTAGATTCGTTCGCTATGTCTAGCGCAGCGCTGTGTAGGTCCATCAGCGATCGATATAGCCGTAGAACGATATCTTAGTCACGTCTCATGGTCGAGGACTTATTGTTGTTAATTAAAGTTTTCCTTACTAAACCAATAGATGTTAATGATTTCACTATAAAATGCACATTATCTTTTCAATTATCTCACATATATTTTTCCACTTTGTAGTCATTTCTAATATATAATTATATATATATAATTTCTCTCGTTATTAAATATATCGACGCAAAGTGAAATCCTTGACGTCGAATTTATCAGTGATTAATAAAATTAACGACGTTTAACCATCTCTAAGAAATGTTAACGTGATCTTTGGTACACCAACAGATTTTCGTTCGAGCGCAATTCGACTACGATCCACTGGAGGATGAATTGATACCCTGCGCACAGGCTGGAATCGCTTTTAGAACCGGTGACATTCTGCAGATCATCAGCAAGGATGATCATCATTGGTGGCAAGCGAGGAAGGATAACGCGGCTGGTTCCGCGGGTCTTATCCCATCGCCCGAACTTCAGGAATGGCGCATTGCTTGCATGTCTATGGAGAAGAACAAGCAAGAACAAGGTAACGTAACTTTACTATCCATATTGGTCGTTTTTGTGTAAAATCGCTCGTCTGTAGAACACGAGTACTGATTCTCGATATCTGATATGTAAAAACGACGTACGGTCGAAGGTCTTTTTCTTCGCTTTAAGGGGATTGATCATTTTTCATCATGTTTTATCTTAGATTGTTATCTCGTAAAATGGATGAAGTTCTTTAAAAAGAAAAGGAAAACATATTCGGTATAGCAATTACGAAAAATATTGTTCTAGAGTGTAATCCTCTTCATTTCATCGAACAATTGAGGATAAAATTTCTTGATGATTTTGGTGTAAAATATTTTCAATGCTGATCCTCTGTTTAAGTGTTCTTTGAAAGAATAATTTTCTTTCTCTGGCGTTAAATATAACGTTAAACTTTTAAGATAAGGATAATTTTAGTTAAAAACTCGAGTAGAATGAGTACGATAATCATTGGTTCCAGCAGATCGCAGAATCTTTGAGTACAGAACGGAGAGTCAGAATTCCGCCGATTGAGAAAATCGTTATTACGTGACATTCTTTCACTGCCGCTCAATCGATCCATTATCATCCAATCACATTTGATGATTCCACTCAATTCCCACTGATTTTCACCAAATCATTGCTGCCAGAAATACGAATGTGCTGATGAAACACGATGTCGTCTGTGTGTTGTTCGATGTGTACAGGTTTTCGATGGAGCATGTGATATCGTTGTTATCAGTCAATTATACTGTACGATAAGATGCATATTAATAGTGTACTATTTTTCATTCAGGATGAATTAGTTAGGTAATTATCGTTTGACCGATGTTGATCCCCAAAATATTTTGAACAGTAACAAAATGGTGTTTGATATTTATGATATTACTTCATACATGATATATTTATTTATTTTTAATGTAGGAAATATTTTAAAGAAATTTGGAACTCCTTAGATTTGAGAAAATGTAAAAATCACGCACATTAATTATATTTTTTGTAAACTGTAATAATTCTTTCAAAATATAACAGTATCTATATGTAAATGAAATTAATAATTAATAGTACGTATCAATTATTAACAATTAATAGTGCATACAATTAATAATAAATAATAAATATTTAATTATGATATTAATGTATTTTGTGTGAATATTAACGTTTCCATAATATTATACAGAATCTATATCAGATCATCCGTATCATCTCTTTTTGTCGGAAATGAAAAAATAGTAACCGGAAATAAAAAAAAAATTTTTACTATTAAAAATATTCATTGTTTCTTATTAGTTTTCTAAACTATATTTAACAGCATTTCGGTTTTCTCGAAAAAGAATAAACATGAGTCGAATCTGAAATTGTTAATATAAATACATAAGTCGAAAAAATAGTTGGATGTGTCTTTTAAAAATAAACAACCCTTGCTTAAACTTTTTTTTATATTATCTATGACTATGATTTACAAGAAGAACACGTTACAGATTATGAGTCATTCATTTATCCAGACATCAAAAGTTATCAGCGATTTAAGTTAAAATTTATTCTATACTCTACATGACCTATCTCCCTATTTAATAGTTTGGACTTGACTCAGGTTTACCCTACTTCCGGTAGTTTCTGGAAAATTGAAATCTACATTGTGTGTTAAATAATTTAGATAAGCTTTAGGAGTGAACATTTTTTCTCAACTATTATGCATATTTCCAAGAAAAAGTGTAATATGAATGATCTACTACATTCTGCATGTCTATAACAGTATATGATAATAGAAATAGACTAACGAATTTAAAATATATAAATTTTTTAAATCCACATCTCACGTATTTAATATTGAATGTGATTATAGTTAATCGAATACAGTTTTCATGTTTAAATTTTAATTAGATAAATATATTTAAGTATTTAGATTGGGGGGGATGTTTATACATCTTATTAAATTGTATAATTAATTACTCTGAGAGAGGCTGAATTTTTTAAACGTTATATCGAAAAGATTTTATAATTCAAATCCCACGTGAAGAGTATAAACCTGTATTGATTTCGAATCTCAAAGCTGGGTATGAACGTTCCTGAAGCCATTCCGGCTAAAAGCATCTATCATCTGCAGACGCTAGAAATAAAGCACAAACGTAATCGTTACTTTGGATAGTTACCGATCCATGAAATTTTAAAATACCATTGCCTTTGTGTTAACCATAAATCTTTTACTTTTGAAGAAAAGATGCTGTTGTGGTATTATAAGTTGGCAAAAGCAACAAAATGTTAGGAAAAGCGTATCGAATTATACGCAAGATAGTTTATTACTCGCACAAGAGTTGTTTACTCCATATGTTTATGATACATATTTAATAGCCAGACCACTTAATTTAAAAAAACACAGATCACGATGAAACTGCAAATGAGATACGATAGAAGGAATAATTATACGATTTTAAAATGTAACGTTAAAAGCCAGATTTGAAATCTAATTACGAATTGCGACTATGAAGTCGTATGCAAATCAAGATTTAAATGCTTTAAGAACATGTAGCAAGAAAGTTTCGGTCGCCGTATATCTCTATGTATGCGCCTGTTGGCGTAAGTGGGTGGCATGAAGGACGGATTAGGAATAGGCAAATGGAGAGCTAGCGCATACAAGAATAATTAGCTGCAGTGATATATCTGTTGTTTATATGTGTTATGCGGGGCTAGATGCTGAAGGAGAAGGTGGATGTTCTTCTCACACCGAAGGCTGCGACGGTTCGACAGGTACGTCTCTGCCTTCAGGTAGACACGTGTAGAATCACATAGGACGTACTTTTAGACGCATGAAGTACAGACTGGATCCATGCTTCTAACACACGCATCAATACAGAGAGAAGATAAAAAAACGGGACAATCGTTCTTTCAGCGATTTATGGAAACGGGCGCACGAAGCTTTTACTTTTAAATTCATTTTATACATGAAATTTATTATTGTCGTAATTTTATAATATAAATGTACGGACGATACTTATTGTTAGTATCTTCATATTTGATAAAACACTTGTATTAATATTTACAAAGTATTTACAAAGAATTGTGTAATACATTTAAGTTTTTAACTTCCAATTAGCAAATGACTTGGTACCATTAACAAAATTATGTGAACAAGAAGTTCCGAGAGCTACGTTATTGCTGGTGTACGTAATAAATGTATTACGCTTATTCGATATTGAATAAATATTCATACAATACATATACCTGGCAAAAAGTACATCTCTATAATAATTTTATTATAAAATAAACTTTGCATATTTGATTTAAAAGATATTGATTTTGATATAGATCTTCATAAAACTGTATTATTAAATTACACAATTGTAAAAGTATCTCACACAATGCATGAAAATGAATGCCATTATGTGAATTCTTCATAATTGATATAAACAATATGGAATTAAACATCAATAACAAAAAAGCTTTAAAAGTTTTCAATTTCCAAACTTGTCTAAATGAAAAATTTTGTAACGTTGCGGAATATTTCGAGAGAGCATCATACTGATTATAATTGATTAATATGGGTACTATGATATATTCTGCATTATAAATTAATAGATGCTTTTACACATGCGTGCTTTAATGCATGCGTTTGCTGTAAAACATTCAACGCACACTTATGCTTATTTCGCACGATTTCACTTGCAAGCGTACGCGGCAGCACGATTACAATCGGGGCTTATAATAGACAATTAATTGATTGTTCTAAATGTTATATAGCGAGTAATGATACTTTTGAGAATACCTTGCCAAAAATCTCAGAAACGATATTTTCATCCTCATTCTTGGTTCTGAAATATAAATCTTTTCTTTTCATATATGTATTTTCATCCATCTTCAATTGTCTAGATATTTTGGCAAGATATCGTGGTTTGCACAATCACGCGAGCTATCATCCGCAGCTTCGATATATTGTAGTCCCACACGAATCTCCCTAGTATACATATTCTAGTATACAGTAGTTCTGTGATCGCGAAAATAATATTCACGAGACAATTCACCATGGTTCCCCTATTATGTCACTTATTTAACAACTCACGCATCAATTAATCATCGACTTTACGTTATCATCTTGTGACCTGCTGGAACACCCCTCTCTCAATAGGACTTCCCCAAGTGCCTTTGGGCATGGCTTCCTTCAAACTGGCTGATTGAATGAAATTCTTTTTATAATCAATAGATAAAATTTTGCTTGATCCAGGAACCAATATTCGCAGAGTAGTTTATCACTTCGTGTTAGCATTAATTTTCAAGATGCTCCGGAGGGTTGCTAATATTAAGTGCACACGTCGATGCGTACTATGTTTCCAATAGGTTAACACACTATGTTGGGTGATACATGTTTAGGAGAAGTAATATCAGGGAATATTTTAGCGACGTGAACGACCCTCTTTGCGCAATTACGGAAAATATCTGTCGTGCCTCATTATATTTTGGCGATATAAACCAGGGAACTTCATTAATAGATAATTACACAACTTGCATCGTAAAGAGTTTAACCATCATTGGCTGGCATAATTTTTGATACACTTTCACATTCGTATATACATTTGAATTTTGCGAGCCAATTTCGTTGCGACGGTTACGTCATTGTGATCGTACTTTAATATCAATTTAGCGGTCGTTCATCGACACTATAAAGGCACGTAACTTGTTAGTTAGCACGGATAATGGATTCCGTAACATGACACTTGCACAGTAATTTGCAAGTTTACACCGGGTTTTCGAAAAGAAATAGCTTCATCTCCGGTTTCGCGGCATTTATATATATTAACAATCTTTTCTGCTTGCAGTAAATTGCTCAATATTCGGCCGGAAAAAGAAGCAATACAAGGATAAATATCTTGCAAAGCACAACGCTGTTTTCGACCAGCTGGACCTGGTGACCTACGAAGAGGTCGTGAAGCTTCCTTGTGAGTTTTAGTTGCAGTTCTAAAAAAATCTAAATAAACATAAGAATAACTTGTAATATAAAAAAAATGTAATTCTTTTATTTTTTGATACATTAGTTTAATATCAAATTTTTTTCGAAATGCCGTAGTACATATCCCGAAGATTTTTTGCGCTCAATACGATGCTCTTGACAAAATTTGTGTGACATGTCAGGATTTTGAATAAATCGGGGTAAAAATGCCCATTTTCTTCTCAATTTATTCAAAATCCTGACATGCCATGCAAATTCTGTCAACGGCACCATGTTCAGCACGAGAAAAATCTTCGGAATATGTACTATGGCACTTCAGCAAAAAAGTAATTTTTAATCGAACTGTGTTATCAGTGATAATTCCATTATTAAAATGTCTCAAAATTTATATTAGATAGAATTAGAGCTATAATTTAATATGTTTTATAACATTTATATAGGAAATAAATAATTATTGATTTTGAATATTATATATTACTTTTCTTTGCATATAGATCCTGCCTTCCAACGGAGAACTTTAGTATTATTGGGAGCACATGGTGTCGGTCGACGACACATAAAAAATACGATTATTTCCAAGCATCCTGATAAATACGCCTATCCTATTCCGCGTAAGTGTTTCAAATTTTTTAATATAATTCTGAATTAATTAAATGTTATTTTTAGAAATGTGTAAAATTAAAAATGATATATTTATTGGAAGACTTATTAAATATGTTCTTTTTATAGATACAACGAGGCCTCCACGAAGTGACGAAGAAAATGGTCGTAATTACTATTTCGTATCGCATGATGAAATGATGGCAGATATAGCTGCTAATGAATACCTCGAATACGGTAAGTTATGCCTATGCAAATTTTTATTTAATTTATTAAAATTGGTTAATAAATAATTAATTTATTAATAATTTCTTAATTTTAGAATTGATAATTAATGGAAGAGTATTGATTATTATTAATTGTTAGAATTATTAATTTAGAAGTATAGATAATAAGTTTCACAATTTTGAAACATTAGAAACAGTATATATTAAATATTAAAATTTAACCTATTTTTTTTTATGAATAGGTACGCATGAAGATGCTATGTACGGAACTAAGCTTGAAACTATCCGCAAAATTCACGAAGAAGGCAGAATGGCCATATTGGATGTTGAGCCACAGGCACTGAAAGTTTTACGGACTGCTGAATTTGCACCTTACGTCGTTTTCATCGCTGCACCAGCATTTGCAAATGTTACAGATGTAAGTATAAAAATAATTCACAAAAAAACTAAACTACTATTTTGGATATTTTTCGCAAATTGTAGCTCGCATAACGATTTAGCGAATGCATTTTATTATAATATAAAATTTCTTGATACACACACATGGAGAAATATATATAATATACATAAATTTATATAAAAACATAAAGTTATATAAAAAATTGAATAAAATTTTCCATTCTGAATGATAACTCTACAATAATTAATTTGAAATATATTAATTATGTACATTATAATTGATAATGTTAATTACATATTTTATTATTTTTTGTTTAATATACATATTTTTTAAATTTTGTTTGCGATTGCTAATCATTTATTTTTATGTAAAACGGGATAATTTTAAATTGCAAACGTTATTTACTTTTCGCATTAAACAACGATGTATAATTAATCAAGAACGACATGTCTAGAAAGGATATGCTAATTTACCTTTCCACGGTACACGTTTTCTAACTAAAACATAAACGTACTAGCCTTAAAACGTTTACCATGTAAACTGAGATTAATGTGTTTAACAGGATCTACAATAATTCACATAAAAAACGACAAGTTACAAGCTAAAGAGCTTATTGAAGAGTACGTATATACAAATCATCGATATCAGTAAATATTTCCTTTAAACTGAACGTATCTTGATTCTTGATGTGTGATGCGAGTAGGAATACTTGGCACGCCAATTAAGCAATTAAGCAAACCGTTCAGTGATCTTGAAATGAATCATGAATTTGCCGGATTAATCGGGCAAACAATTACCGCTTCACTTGTTCTGAATGACTAATCGACTGATAGCAGTCCGTTAAATACACTTGAGAGGAAATCATTAAAGGATTTTGATGATGACATAAATATAATCCATATATATACATATAAGTAAAGACTATTACATTCCCTATTCTACGTTGGATTAAATGCGTAATCAACTTTACTTCATTTTCATTAAAAAAAATATATGGAATTATTTAAACGTATAAGCTATTCGATGTGAAAATATACGAGACACTCCCTAAAAAAGAAACATGAAAAGATGGATTAAATGTTTTCGTAGAAAATTACATCGGAAAATTATATTCTGAATATTTTCGAACTAAATCGATTTTCTATTAAGCATACAAGTACGATTTTTATATAAACGTCTCTTGTGCTTTCAGTTCGACGGTAGTTTAGAACGTTTGGCGAAAGAGTCGGACATGCTGAAGCAGGCATATGGGCATTTCTTCGATTTGACCATCGTGAACAACGATCTCGACGAGACGATCGCCCAATTGGAGGCTGCGATTGAACGCGTTCACACGACACCACAATGGGTGCCCGTTTCTTGGGTCTACTGACAGCGGTCTTCACCGATTCGTCACATCGTCACCACGGATTGCAATGGCTCATCGAGGATGAAACAGTGATCGCTGGTGCCGTGACGATCATCGTATCACGGTCGGTCCTCTCGACGCGAAGATTTGCCGTCAACAGTCACTGGCGTCCAACAGGAATACGCCGCAGACAATTACGTCGTGCACGTAGGACGTACTCAACGTACTAGCAAACATGCTCGCCGTCGATCGGCTCGACGGTGAAAACGATCAAAGTGCGTGACTATACGATGGCCGTGTGTTCATGAAATTCTTTCCATCGCATCGTAATTGTTATTATCAGTCGCGAGACACGAGAGAAGACCAGCGACGTATCGTAGTCATCTTGATCCATCGATGAGTATCGCCGTTGCGTCCGCTACCGAGGCGTCGGATCATCCGGAAATGGAACGCGTCATCATCGAAGCACGACGAAGATCAGTGACGGCAATAATGTCGTCACGTGCGTCTAGAAACGGACGCTTTTTCGCGGACCACCAACTCTTTCCTGATTTCATCTCCTTCTCCCTCTGTTCCGTCTTCCTTCTTTGAAGATTAAAAGATAAGACAAGGAGCAACACTGATCAGCTGAGACTTCTTTTGAAATGAGACTGCTGAACGAATGCCTGTCTTTCTTTTTTATTCCGCGCAGTTTGTCGCTTCTTTCGACACATTCCTGGCACGGTTTCGACGAATTCACATACGAATTTCTCGTGATTCCACGCTCAAGGCAATCACGTTTACGAACGCGAACTATGTGCAGTGATACGGCAACGCGATAACAAGGATCAAAGAACGTCGCGCAGAATGTGGAAAACCAAAAACGAGAAACAATAGTCGTTCATACTTTCGCGCGGACATCAACCGAGCGGCTGCATCTTCGTACCCTTTATCTGCGGAATCTATCGACTTTCCGTAAACTGTAATTGCCTCCTATCATACTTTATCGTAATTATTTAACGAAAAGAAGCTAGAGATCTCTCGTGCGGCACGGCAGTGCTCATGAATATAATGTATGTGTGTGTGTGTGTGTGTGTGTGTATACATCCATACATATATGTACGTAATTACATATATATACGTATGTATGTATATGTATGTATGTATGCGTGTGTTTGTGTGTGAAATGTATGTATGTGTATATATATATAGTGAAAGATGGTCCTGTCGCAATAATCGAAACTCGCGTTTCTCTGATCGTTTAGTCAAAAGAGAAAAAGAAGAACAATAGAAGAATAATAGGAACTGGTGTGCTGCCGGCCGTCCGTCATTTAACAGTAACTTTAAGTAGTAGGGAACTTCGCCGGTTTCATCTAGTACTTCTGCTAATATCTAACGAGTGTTCATCTCTCGTCGCGGCTACCTCTACCACCGCGACGAATCTACGCGTATACGCAAGCGCTTCTTTCGCCTTTTGTATCTTTCGCAATTGATTGTCGTTTGTTTTTTTCCTTTGTCTCTTTTTCTCTCTCTATCGCCCGCCGAACTTCTCTCACCTTTCTACTTTTGACAATCGAGACCGCCGTCGGGGCGAAACGGCTCGTTCGCTCGCTCGCTCGTGCACTCGCCCATCCTATTGCCATTCGTCGTTGCTCACCAGACTCCTCGGTCGCAAAATCAAATATTCACCGATGCACCTGACGATCTTATATTTCCTATATACAAACACACGAAGCCGTACTGCAAATCCCGGACGAATGCATAGACGGCGGATACCGATCCGGCAGTGAGAATTATACAAGTGCTTATTCGGAAGCGCTTGTATAAGATTATTTAAGTTCGTACAAGACATACACATACATTTACATACACACATACTCACGCAGGCACGCAAGCACACGCACGCACGCAAGTACATAACATACATACACATATGGGCACACGTCAAAACTATAATGTCACTCGGTTCGTATTACTTACACCTTCGTACAAAAGCGTATAATCGAATGACGAAATGACAAAAACGCGGATCTACTTATAGGATATTTATAAAACGTAAATTTCAGATAAATAGATAGTTTACCAGCTATATGAAATAATGACACACATCTCTTCAGTAGAGAGGTACACACGTGCATCCACGCGTCCCCATACACCAACCCACACCGCCCACTTGTCTACACACGCACACAATATACATACATACGCACATTACGTACGCACGCAATCGCATGCGCGCGAGTGCAGGTTTACAATATACAGATTTAAAAACTAGGTAATTAATTTACAAAGGATTAAAAAAAATTAAATGTATGACTAATTAATATTAAAAAAATTACTAGGAGACTAATAGGTGATTTGCATATGTATATGCTCGTAGAACGAAGGAATGAATGCGTGTATACATGCGGGCGTGGTATGATAGTTTAAAGTTGACAACGTTGCGTTTATCACAGATCTGTTGAAGCTTTGACTTCATCAGTCTGTTTTTCTCTTTCTCTTTCTCACTCTCTCTCTCTCTCTCTTTCTCTCTCTTTCTCGGTCGTCGCAACGATCTCGAAACATATAGGCGAATTTATATAGGCTTGTGTCTCGCTCCCCCGATGCGTTCTTCCTATTCCGCGCGACCACGGCAGGATGACACGAACCAGTCGTGGCAGAAGCGCTCGATTATTATATATTTTAGAAACGCATATAAATGAAGGGGAGGGTCACGATATCGTCACGCAATGTCACGTTTGCGAGGACCGGTAACTATAACATCGGACAGAAACGATTTTTACAAAGCCAGATATGAATTTGCCGAGTAACGAAAATGCTCGCACAAGAAAAAAAGGTTGCCCGTCGGTGTGATAGCGTTCGTATGCGTAAAACATTGCGAAAGCGCGAGAAGCATGAATCACAAGTGATTTTGTAATATTTCTTATAAGTTGTAGCTGCCATATCTAGTAATTAAGTACTAGGTGCGTTGAGTGATAATCTGACGACTGTTATGCTAATGATAACGATGATGATGATAAATAATGACAGTGATCATGATGACCGTACGTGCTGCGGCACATGTGTCTCAATTAATTTGGATGAATTGTGCTAAGATATTGAGAGAGACGACGGGTCTAAAGAAAAACAATAACATGTTCATTATAATTATGTAATTATAAATAAGAGGAAGAGACGAAGAATATTATAACACGTTGTTAATTGAATTAATAAAATTAGCCCAAAGTAATGAAGAGACGTTTGATTTGAGCGAAATTTATTGGCCTCTATGTTTTCGTTTCAACGGATGCCTTCTGATATGGCTCCTTTTAGCTGGTGCCACTGCCGGTATAAGCATATCTTCCGAATTGTCCGTCTTATTGCACTGCTTTTGGTCCATAGGGAACATGTACTCCAAGTCAATGTCATATCTACACGTATTAAAAATTTTATTTTTAATCTCAAAAAATAATACGATAATATAATATTCTTGAGGCTACGATAATATAATATTTACTTTAATTCAAGTTTTCAATTATTTATTAATTTCTTATAAAACAAGCGTTTTTGGCATGCATAAAAATTTAATTCAAGAAATTATCGTTTCTCTTTCATACATCATTAATAAAGCATCTTAAAAATAAATGACTTTTAAAATTGATGAAATTGTATTCATATCTTCTATTGAAGTACTTTAAAAATTATTGTATTTAAAAAATTATTTTTCGAAAGATGTATATGTTTAACAAGATTTAAAGAAACAATTTTACTGTAATCAGAATAATATTAAGAGAAATATACCTAGGCAGTTTCTCTCGAAGATAAGAAATGACATTTGCCCCGAGGCTCGCTTCACGGCTCATGATGAAGCTAGATAAATATCTTGGGCTTTTACTCTTTTCAGCACAATGCATTAGTAACGCCCAGGATTTATAATCCGAATCTAATACGTATGTATTATACACTCCTTCGTCTGGAAAATATTGAACTCGCCATAAAATAATTCTACGAAAAATAATATTTATTTTAACCAAATTAAATTTTTATAATTAATGATTCGTTTAGAAAATTTATTTTTCAGAGAGTATATCTTGCAAGAAGTTTACATCTAGAGCTGGCTCCAGATGACTAACGAGCATGAGCAAACACAAATAAACAACTTGTTTCAAGGGAAATCGAACGGTATCGTGAATGTAAATTGTTTATTGTCATTTGCTTGATCTGAATCCGGCTTAACATTATGATAAATTAATTTTTTTTAAATGAATAAAAGAAAAAATTGAATGAAAAGAATTAACTAATCAAAAATTTGAAATTAAATTAGAATAAATCATAAAAAAAGGGCAAAATAAAATATGAAACTTCTTTTCATTACAATAGAAAAATTGAAAGAAATTAGATTGTTGCGAGATAAGTAACTGTGTTTACATGGTAACTCAGCGTGCATCCAATGAGCAGGTAAGTCCGGCGAAGGGATTTTCCATGTGATGTTACCAACGAGCAGCTCGTTAATAGGATCGTCAGTAAAGCTGTAAGTGAAATTCATGGTAACTTCAGCGTTTTCAGGCGAAACCGAGAGCTCGGCTCTCATGCATCTGTACACGAGGGCTTCCTCTGAGCTTGCATAGTATTGTACTATGTACCACAATCCAAGAAACTGCAAGAAGCGCAAGATATCTGTTACGTGCGAATGTATGTAGGCGTGAAGTCACGCGTGAAATAGGCACAACAGTTTACTACGCCGTACCGATTTTATTCGCGCTAACGTATGCTAATAAATGTGTGCGGCCAACGGGTCAAGCGATCGCACTCGATAGTAAACGTTAGCATTAGAAATACGTTCAAAAATTTTCTAGATGATTATCACTTCGTTTTCATTCAAAGACATGATTTATTGAAATTTTCTTGTACTTCTCATAAATTCGTTTAACATTTTTTTTTACTTTTCACAATTTATTATATTGTTTAATTATATCATTTAAACGTACTTGTATAAATTAAATTTTTACTATATTCAATACATTAAATTTTGATGCAACATTTATTTTGATTTGCTTTATCTTTTTATAAGAAATTTATTTGTATAATAATGTTTAACTGTTGCTAAATATACGAAGAAATTCTATTAATAAGTTTCGTATAAAATAATAATTCTTACTTATCACTACTAAAAAATAAAACTGAAGAAGTACAAAAATATACGCTTTATCTTATCTGCAAAAACATGCAACAAATTGATGAGACTTATAACGGAAACGTGGGACACTTCGAAGTTTTGAGTTATCACGAGATATATGTATTCGGGTTCAGAGCCTATAATATCTCTTATAAAGTCACACCCGGTCTAAAACGCAATGTAATATTTTCCATATGTATACAATTTTTTTATCTTTTTAAATTTATTAAAATTTTGATCTAAATTCATGCCAAATAAAAACAATAAAATAGGAATAGTTTGAAATTAAACTATCTATATTATGTTCATAAAGAAAGCCACAAACTTTATTTAAATGTAAGTTGCATCTTGCTTTAATTATTTCATAATTTTCCAAAATTGATAATATAAGAATATAAGAATTAAAACGTATTTGCAATACAATCCACTTCACTTAAAGTACATATCACCATTTATGACAAAAGCAAACTAACGGAAATTGTCGCTTCTATGTGAACACGTCTGTAGTCTTCCTATAAATACGTATCAAATCTAAAAATAAATCCGCCGAACGTAGCTCTGGAAAGAAAGTCTACGCAAGTATCGCTAAATTCTATTATTCCATATTCGCAAATAATATATATTATAAAGAACTTCTCAAAGTATTATTCTTGTAAAATGGTTTCTCTTCATTTTTTCTTTTTGTCTTATTAAAATTTATTAAATAATTAAGTACACTGTTAAATATTAAATATTATAATTTGCAACCGCATTTATATTATTTATTGTCAAGTTTCTATTGCAACTTTATTATACATTAGAAAATTAGATCAATCGATTTTCCGTAGTTTTTAAAACAGAGTTGCCGAGCTGTATGTACGACTACTTAAACAAAAAACAAAATGGTAGATTTAATTCATACATGACATAATTTTCGAAAATGGATTTCCTATAGAAATTAAACGTGAATTCATAAATTTAGCAAAAAAAAAAGTACTTTATATTCTGCAAAGCCATTTGTCAACTCTTATTTGTTTATCAAACTCATAAATTAAAGCAAAATATATCTTGTTTTTGGTCATCAAAATGTTTGGCCAATTTTTTCTCTGTACAGTTAGTAAGTTTTTAATACATTTAATTCAAAACCTGTTTAAAAGTTAACAGCGTAGTGTGTGTTAAATTTATTCGCGGTATACTAGTGGGAATACTAATATAATATGTATAGATATGTTTGACAGCTTTTACTACTTTCATGTCAAATTATGTTATTGTTAATTATACGGTAAACGATCGTTTCTATCGCTATTGCACATTGATCCTAATGAATAATTGTGAATTATGTTCCGTATATAATTAATATTCAATCGACATATTCGGCAATAGTAAATGTTCATTATCCGTTTCAGAAATCACATCAGCGGCGTGTAATATGTCAGTACACTTCATATTATTTCGCACCAATATTGTACGTTGAATGAAATGCATCAAACACTCATCTAATTTACATAAAACAATTAAATGAAGCGGCAAAAATACGCTTAAATCATTACTAATGGCGAAAATGTTGATTTTCGTGACAATTTCAAGTTTTACAATTAACACAAGAATTAATTTTGAATTATAAAAGTAATTGTAATATTATAAAGACTTTTTAATAAAACTTAATTATAATGTAATTTATTTCTTTCGAAGAATGTAGAATTGACTTTTCCGAAAATCTAATTCTTTGTCAAATTATAAAAATTAAATATTCGCGATTTCAGAATGTAAACATTTTTTAAATGTGACTATAAATATTTTATAGTCATATTAAATATGTGCATATATACATATGTGTGTGTGTGTGTGTATATATATATATATATTCTTTTGATAAAAAAACGATCTACAAAATTTTATATAATTGGAATCCACAGTTCCGGAAACAAGGAAGAGTTCAAATTTTCTGTTGATTTATCATTGTACGTACATGAGACAATCTTTGTATTTATTATACACGAACTGTTTAAACGTAAACGATTCTCATTTAAAATGTACAAATCGGAAAATTTATATTGTTTGATTTTCAATCGTTGTAAATTGCAAAAGATTCTATACCTCGGATATGTCAAAGTTGCGTATTCCCTTCACTTTTGGGCACTTGGTCTTATCCTCCCGTCTCTTCCAAACACTGTCGGCGTCGCCGATGAGAAATCCGATGATAAGCAGCGTTATTGTCAACCAGTAGAATCCCGAACGTCGTCTCGTTCCGGGATGCATCTTTACCGTGCATTCAGATTCCGCTCACAATAAACGGTACAAGCTGATCGGCTGGATCGCGCACGACGTCTCTCCTCGACTGTCGGGTCTTGCTCAGCGACTAAAGGCCACGTACATACCGAATGTACGAAGAACGGACGCGCGGCTCATGACTATTACACGGACGAAGAGGGGGTGGCCACTATCACGTTCCTCCCTTTGCATTCTTGCTGTTCCTTCGTTTTCAATCGGCAACTTGTTCCGCACGTACAATCCTCATAACTAGCGCCGGCTGGGACCCAGGACTCATAGGCGTGATCGCCGTTTATAGCTAAAGAGACACGCTATATTCCCGAGTCACTTCGTTTTCTCCGGATTGTCCTGTTCTCTCTGGCTTTGTTCCCGACTGGGACCAGTGAAAGACCTCGTCTGCAAGATTTTTGCGATCCTTTCACGATTGTGAAGTTTACGATAGTTATTTCTCGTGAAAGAGTTGAATTATATTCGTACTAATGATAGGTAATCGACATGATGATTTTACAAAAACACACAAAATTAATACACAAAATAAAATAATATAATGCATACATAAAGATAGAGATTGCAGAAATAGAGATAATTTTTTGGTTATCGACACGATCATAACAATTTTATTATTCAAATCAATCTACAAGAAATAAATAAACATATAAATTTTATTTTAATTCATATAATTTTAAATATAATATAATGTGCACTTTAATATAACAAAAAATATTTCTATAATTCAAATGTGAATTAGCAAAGAAATACACACGTATTTATAACGTGTCAGTTTATATTAATTGTTTTATACATATAGTATATATGTATATATATTTAAATGAGATGTGTACATAGCTTAGTTCGTATAGTGCATATATATATTCATATAGTATGCGTAGGTATATCTTCATTAAACAATAACACACTTAGCACTGATTAATTTGAATACATTGGACGTGATAATGCAACGCAATGTATTCATTATGTATATGAATATATAATGACATGTACAAATTAGGATAAAGAAATAGCAATGTAATCGATGCACTTTACCATTAACTTATTGTTTTTTTATTGGATTAAGAATATGTGAATTGATTAGCTCGTTTTAGCAAAACATTTTTTCTGATTATCTTTGAGATGTTGTCAAAGTAAACCGTTTTGCAGAAAAATGGATACATAAGATTTTTGAGAGATGATTTTATTTTTAGTAATAACTTTAAAGTGCTCAAGATAATATTTTTGAGGATGAAATATCATCGAAAGTATTATGTTTGTAAATAATAAAGCCAAAAATAACAATAATTTATAGATTTATTTATGCATTTTTAGAAATTTTTTATGTCGTTTAAGTACATGGTGTACGTGATACATACGTATTGATTATTATTCACCATGCACAATTGAAAATCGATTCGGTAATAGTACAATATCTCTTTAAACTGATATCAATATGCAGCAACCTGCTCGAAGTAAACGTGTTTAACATACGATATTGATACGAAACATTTTATTCATGTATCTCGTACATGACGAATTCTGATTATATTTGGTTATAGTTAATTTTACATTTTTATTGTATGAAATTTATATATAGGAATTTAAGCTATACAGAATTATGGATTATACGTATTAGAACTTTTTTTTAATAATAATTAATATATTTATTTTTTAATAATAATTAGTTAATAATAATTAGATAATTTTTAATAATTTTTAATAAAATATATAAAGATAAATATATTTATTTTACATTCTATATACACTTTACATTTTTATATAGTTGCATTGCTTCAATTTACTAAAAAAAAGGAATATATACTTGTTGTAATAGTTTGAGATAAAAAAATAAAGAAAAATTAAAAAATTTTTCTTATTATATTAAAGCTTACATATTACTGCAACTGAAAATTAAGTTGTCCTCTTTAGGCAACTCGAAACTTTTTGTTTCCGTTCCTCCAATAAAAAAGAATATCAGATTCATGATTTCAGGTCTGGTTATTCGGGTCATCTAATTGTAAGTTTAAAAGTTTAGTTGCTTTCCTGTAAGTAAACCACAAAATTAAGTTTATCGCTGGGATGAGAGTTGTTTGAGCAAAATGACTTCATCGACATTTTGACCGCAAATTGTTGGACTGCGTAATCTGTTTATTAAATGATTACATATAACTTTTACAATATTTATCAAGAGTAGCCTTGTACGCCAAGTATATTTTTCGTAATGTACATTTCTTTCATAAATGAGATGCTACGTATTTTATAGAAAATATGTCTTTGGAATCCTTTACGCTTTACAGGAAAAGCAAATATAAATGTATATATGTATGTACATAAAAAGATATTTTTAATTATACTTGCACGTATACATGTATACATGTATATGAAACAGTTCATTCTAGAACCGCAATGAATGTACGCCGAACAATCTGCTATATTGATAAACTTATTATCAATTCGTCAGTTTATTATTTTATCACACATCCTTTTCCTCTATGACAATCACACTTACGAAAATATTTCGGAACGCCAAACTAATGTGTCATGATAAAAATTGAAGGCGTCAGATATTTAATATAAAAGAGGTATTGGGTGTTAGATTAATGCTTTTAGCTGGAAGAGAATAAAACCAAAGAGAAATAAGGAACATTAGATTAAAGAGGCTAGGAGATTACCTTAAAAAAAATATCTTGTAATATAATGTACTTGTAATATAATTATATGAATATTAATACAAATTATAATGTTCAAAGTTTATAGAAAGCAACACTGATATGTTTTGTTAAGTTTATGTTATTCTGCTATCGATATATAATATTATACAATCATTTTATAAATCTTTCCAAAACTGCAAAAGACATGAAATAAATAAATGTACATCTAAAAGTTCTACACATCAAAACACAAACAAAAAAAATTATCGTCGGTTATTTTATTTTAGAAAATAGTATTGAATATTGTATTCTCGCGATGGGAAAATAGGAAAAGAAAAATGTAAAAATTTAAGCAAATCAATACAGTATATGAAAAAATTTTTTATTCAATTTTCGTCTTGCAGAAAAATAGATTGGTATTTGTTCCATATAAAAAAATTTATTACTGCTAATTAAGTACACTGTACTCTGAATTCAGTTGCCATAATCGAGCTCATCTATGCCTTCGGAATCATTGTCATCATATGTTGTACGTCATTTCCAAGGAGGCTTGTTCTTCTGATCTATTTTTGTAAGCATTTTTTGCGGAAGTAGTATATGTTCACTAATATCGTGTACAGTCTAGCAGAGAAAATGATATTATTCGTATATATACATATATACATATATATGTCTTAATTATCAAATTTTAAATAAACAAACCTCGGGACTTTGTTGCCACGTAACGCTATCCTCACTCATACTCAATTCCTTTTTTAAGTAATGTTTCCGCGGTACCTCTCTGCATCCTAATGGCGGACTCGAAATACTACTTCTGAGTTTTGGATCTTTGTCTTCTTTTGCTAACTGCATTTCTGCAATCTATAAAAAATTTGTTTACGTTTGATCGTGAATATTTTTTTAAGATTATCATCTGAATATTAATCACCATTTTCACATATTTTCGAAGATCATCCTTCGATTCATTTCTATTGGTTAACGGCGCATTTTCGATGGAATTCATTGTTACCACGCTTTCATTATGATCTTCAACAGGTTGTGCATTAATTAAATTACGTGCTTCTAACGACTGAGCGGTATGTTTCATTAATTCCTGAGAAAGTTTAGTGTAACAATTTGGCATTGATTCTGATTTTTTAGGACCTTTAGAATCAAAACATTTATCGCCGTGAATTTTTTGAATCGGAGAAATATTATCCATGTTACTCCCTGTAATAACATTTTTTTAATTTATGCACAAAAGTATTATAATTATGATAATATTAACAAATAATTGTATATCAATTCAAACATATTCTATGACTAACCTGATATAATATGTAGAGCCTGTTGCCATTGCTTTTGCATAACGGAATGCAATTGTTCCGCAAGTTGAGATTTTGATGCACGCTGAGAATTCAAATGCTTTTCTAATAGAGATGATCTCTGTAAAGCTTGAGCTAATTGCAGTTCGCATAATCGTTTTTCCTCTTTATGTTTTTCCTCTAGCAAGTTTATTTCTAAACGATGTCTAAAAAAATCCAATATGTATATAACTTAGAAAATTAAATTGTACATATTTTATTACACTGCTATATAAAAATGTATAAGAAACGAACTTATCGATAACATCCTTTATCTTTCTAGCAGCGCATTCAGCTATAACTTGTTGTCTTGTTTTTAATTCCTCTAAAAATTCTGATTCAGCATTATCAAGTTGCATTTGAAATTCTTGTAATTTTGCTTTTACTACCTCATCCACCTGTTTCTGATAAACCTCTTGTAATTCTGCTCTGATTTTTTCCTTTTGTTCTGCAACAGACTTGGTTTCATCTTTAGCTAATTTCTGAAACAATAAACACAAATAAGTACATGGCTAATAAAATTATAAAACTTGATAACTGTGACAAATAATTCAACATATATATTACTTCTGCTTTTTTAGCGTCGTCAATGGATACGAGCAACATTGAATTTTTCTGATCTAAAATAGAATTTCTATTTATCTCTTCTTTAAGCTTAAGTTGTAAACTCTCTTTTTCTTGTCTGAGTACTGTCAACTCAGCTTCACAAGTATCTAATGCTTTATGAATAATACCCATCTCATTTCGCACTTCTCCTCCCTTCAAACGTTCTTTATTCAATTCCGATTGAACAGTTTTTAATATTTCTTCGTTTTGTTGGTTCTTCTCTAACAACTTGTTAAATTCTATCTTCATTTGCTCATATCTATTTTCTGCTTCTTGAACCAATGATTTGTAACTTTCTAATTCGTTTGCATGAGTTTTTAACAAATCAACTTTCTCTTTGATCATAGTGTCACCCTTCTCTTTATACCCAGCTGCCAAATCTAAAGCTTTCGATAACTCTCCTTCCAGCCGTTTAACTTGTGTTTGAAGTTCTAACATCTCAGACTGATGCTTTTCTGTGATATTTTGCAAATTAGTCTGTGAATTTTTATGCTCAACTTTTAATATTTCGACTTGCTGCTT